TCAACATGTCGCTCTCAAAATCTGTCGACATGATAAGATATTGAGGCAATTAGCCAAAGATAGGGCACAGACTCGCCGTGATCTAGGTAGTTTCTGTGAACAATTTGGTTTACCACCTTGTAGCAAAAAGCCTCACAAGAGACGAACAACCAAGGATATGGAGATTACAAAATATAGGTCTTCTGCACCCAAGTTCAGGAAGAACAAACCATTTTCTTCTAAACCCAAAACTTTTCCTAGTAAAAATAAATCAACGATCTTCCAAACTCCCAATTCTGGCAAATGTTTCAAATGCAACAAACCAGGCCATATAGCCAAATACTGCAAGTTGTCTAACAAAGTTAGAAATCTTGATTTAGATGAGTCTGTTCTTAACCAGATCGAACAACTTTTATTAGAAGATAGCGACACTTCTGATAATGCTGATGATGAACTTGAACAGCAATTCAACCAACTCGAAGATGATGATGACACAAATTCATCTTCATCCCAGTCTAGTCAAGAAGAACCTGCAATTAATGTTCTCTCCAAAGAACAAGATCTTCTTCTTGAAATAATAAGCAATCTCCAAGATTCTGAGCAAAAGAAGTATTATCTCGAGCAATTCAAACGAACAATAGATAAGCCTTCCACATCTTCCTCTAATGTCTTTACCAATCATCCTCAAGTTGCCAATACTTACAATATTACTAATATCCTCAGTAGATTCCCTCCCAAAAAACCTAAGGTAGTAACTATCCAAGATCTCCAAACTGAGATAGCATTCCTTAAGGAAGAAATTCGAGAAATTAAGGCTAAACAAGAATTAGACCGTCTTGTTCTCCAACAGCTCTCTACCAAACCTGAAGAGCCCAAACCAACTAAAGTTAAACCAGTTGAACAAGAAGTTTTTTGCAACCACCTCTCCAGAATCTCCATAAGAAAATGGCATATGAGAGTCATCCTAATTGTCAATAAGTCCTTCACTTTGGATATCATTGCCTTATTTGATACAGGTGCAGATCTGAACTGCATACAAGAAGGGCTCATTCCAACCAAATTCTTTGAAAAAACCAAAGAAGGTCTTAGAGCTGCTAACGGCGGGAAACTAGGAATTAGCTTCAAACTCTCCAATGTTGAAGTTAGAACCTCCCTAGAAAATTCTCCATTGTCAGCCTCAATCTGTGTCGAAGAGGATGAGACAGAGACTCTTTGGCTAAATGATCTCTGGAAGGAAATGGCTACAGATCCGCTAGAATATTGTTGGATCTGAGAGACTGTAGTATTTTCTGGTTTTTCAGCTTGAGTGGCATCTTGTAGTAACCAGTTTTGTGGTAGAGAAACTTGGCTCCAAGAAATGGGTTTTGGTATTGATAGGTGAGATCTTTGTAGATCTGTTTTGAAAAGAACAGTTTCTCCTTTATGGAGGGTTTTCATGGCTCCAGTGTTAAAGGCAGAACTCATGGCTTTGTACTGTATTCTATAAATAATTGCTACTGGTAAGGATCCAGTTTTGGTTTTGTAATTGGCTGTTTTAACATTAGAGGAGGTTTTCCAAATTTTTGAAACATTAACTGATTTAGAAAAAGGAAAATCTAATTGGTGATATTCAGCATAAGCCTCAAACCATTCAAAGAAATTGATTTGTTCTTTTATGTAGTTTAAAGACTCATAGTAGATACTTCGGATGTTTTTTCTATTATCTCCTTGAAAATTCTCAGAAAACCAAGTTCTTTTGAAAATATTTTCTGGTGAATAAAAATTTGCTCAAAGTGTTACTTTATCAATTTTGAAATCTTTTTCTAAAACACCTAATTCAGCACCTAAAGCTGAGTAAGTGGGAGATTGATATATATACATATATATATATATATATATATATATATTGAAGGCCATAAGAGAGGTGATTTGGCACTTTATTAGGCTAGAATTCCTATTTATCTTTAACCTCTATTTTTTTGGCTTTTCTCCCCCTTTATATTTTATTTTAATGTGATATTTTAAAAGTCCAAAAGTCATCTTATTAATTCTCTATATAATTGCACCTGTTGAGACTACTAAAATCCTAAGAGTCATTATTAGATAAACAATGTAACTCTATAAGAATTAAAGTAATAATTTTATTACTTCAAACGTTTCATGTAACGGAAGTACCGATTCATGAAGTGATTATCTATTATTCAGTACTGATCTCATTAACGAAAACAAAACAGAGAGATTTATGGCCTTGGGAATGAGAAAGCAAGAGTTTCAAATGCTAAATAAATGAATGTATTTTCCTCATCTTTTGGTTCTTTTTCCTTTTTACCCATGTGTTGTACGATTACATCGATATATTTCTTTAGAAACTCAAGTTTATTTTGTGAAGTACACTCCTAATACTTCCTTACTAATATGCAGGAAATCACCACAAATTAAATTGTGATGAGCAAAATAAATTGCTTAATTATCAGCCTTAATTATCAAGTCAATAACATTAACCTCATTAATTGTTGCCGCAGATCGCAAAGTTAAGACAAAAACCATGAGACAATGAATTAAAGTCAGGATGCAGAATAGCCATCAAATTACAACCTTTGAAGTGGTGCGCGCGAGTGTGCGACCAAAGTCTGAAAAGCGATACATTCAATTTACATCTGTTATATGCATTAATCATTGGTGACATCCTTGGCCTCATACAACCAGTCTTTCTACCTGCTGGAGCAAAGCCTTTAATATTAAACTTCACGAGATCTGTAATTTCAGAATAATAGAAAGAGAGTAGTAGTATTTTTATTATTTATCCTTGTCATTTCATGTGTAGTTTATTTCTTTTTCTTGGACTAGGGAAGATCAAAGGAGGTACACTGCAGCGTTGTCGGTAACATCGTAACAGGTATCAATATTTATTCCTCTCATATGTTAAAACCAGTACAATAGTTGATAATTGACAGTATTAAGATCACTTGGTGCAGAGCCGTTTTTCACTTCTTGGATATGACAGCAAATGGTAAAATCTAAAAGATATAAGTTTTGGGAGAATAAAGAATTCATAAACTTTTATCCACGTATGAACTAAAAAAGTTTTACTTCCCCTTTCCCGTAATTGTTTACATAATTTTTTTAAAATAAAATAAGCATTAACTTCTCCTCCCCAGTTTAGAGTTGAAAGACAGAAAATATTATTGAGAATAATAGAATCTATATCTATATCTATATCTTCTATATATTATTAAAAGGAGGGGAAAAAACCTTCTCCTTAAGCCAAGTGGCAGCATAGAAAAAAGACACATGGCATAAGTAGTTAATAATTAGTTATTAGTTATTGTTTTTGAATTTAAATATCTATAGAAGAATAAAAATAAAATATTTTATCATAAAAAACGAAAATTAAAAAATTAAAAAAAAATATCCATTGGAGAGTAGTTTCAAGTTGGAGTTTTAAAATTATTTTAAAATAAAAAAGTAAAATTAAAAAATATAAAAAACTATCAATTCAAAATTCTTTTTTTGAAAAAATTTGCTTTTCTTTTTAAAAATAAATTTTATTTAATCAGAAAATATTATTGAGAATAATAGAATAAAACATAAAATAAAAAACATATATATCTCAATAATATTATCTGAATTTCAATGAATAAAATAATATTTTAATGAATGAATTTTATATTTTTTATATTTTAATAAATATATATAAAATAATAAAATAAATATTTTATAATAAAAAAAGAAAATTAAAAAAATCAATTCAAATTGGAGTTTTTAAATTATTTTAAAATAAAAATTAAAATTACAAACAATAAAAATTGATTTTATTCATTAAAAATTCAGACAATATTATTGAGAACAACAGAATAAAGTTTAAAATAAAAAATATTTTAAGAGTAATAAAATACATATCTTCTATTATATTGCATAAAGAAAGTAGTAGACAAAAATATTAAACAAAATAATATGCTAATAAAAACTTCTATTATCAATGCAATTATACTAAATATTGGATAATATAATAAAGAAAAATACATAACAAAAAAGAAGTTATTCGATGACTGTATAAGTCTCTTTAATTTAATAGAGATTTTATTCATTAAAATTCGGACAATATTATTGAGAACAATAGAATAAAATTTAAAATAAAAAATATTTTAAGAGTAATAAAATATATATTTTCTCTTATATTACAAAAAGAAAGCAATCAGACAAAAATATTAAACAAAGTAATATGACAATAAAAATTTCTATTAATAATTTAAAATTACTAAACATTGGATAATATAATACATAAAAATATAGAACGAAAAAATTCTTCCATAACTATATAAGTCCCTTTAATTTAATGGAGATGTTATTATTGGGTATATCGTATTGACAAATAAGATGGCAATTTAAATTTATTAAATCAATACGCTCTAATATGTTCAAACAAGCCCGATTAGAATTTAACTTAATTAATATTGTTTAATATTAACCGCGTATCGCGTGAGTACGACTACTAGTGCTAGAAATAAAATCAAGAAGCGGACTATGCCTAGAATTTTAATATATTTTGTTTTCATTCTACCTCTATTCAAGGGCGGAGCCAGCCCTTCGGCTACGGGTTCGGCCGAACCCAGTAACTTTTGATCCAAACCTTATATTTGTCTTAAGAAATTCATTGAATATGCAAAACTTATTAAGTTAGAACCAGTACTTAAAAGAACTAAAATCCTGAACCCATAAACATCAAATTCTGGCCCCGCCTCTGCCTCTATTGCTTAACGGCTAAGGCCGCTGATCATAAATGGTATAGTAAAATTCACTGTTTACATCAAATTATAAGTGGTAAAGCGATAACATACAGATTAATTAATTATAATTTAGTAATAAGAGTATGATATTTTTTTTTTTTGCTGTGAACAAGCATTTTTTTTATTTATTTATTGAAGATGAGTTACAACATAGAAGGGATGGAACGTAGAGTTCCAGTACCCGTTGAGTCCAAAAGTAAGTAGGGAAGTACAAAAGGTGGGGGGGGGGGTATCAAAAAGTAGAACATCAGTATGCTACGAGAGGCACAATTTCTTCCCATAAAGTGCTAGAGCATCTGCAACAGTATTACCCTCCCGGTAGATGTGGTTGATCTGTGGCACATGTAAGTCATGCAACATCAACCTGCAAACATGAAAGAGATGTGAGTATTTCGGGTTACCTTGTGGTAACAGATAAGTACCTGTGAGTCGGATTCCACCGTGAGTGGTAGTAGTCTTTTTGCAGTAGCAAGTTGTAAACCATGAAGGAGGGCAAGTAGTTCTGCCTGGAGTACTGTGGTGTTATACAGGGGTTTTGAGTAGCCAAAAATCCAATGACCTTGGTGGTTACGGATGACCCCCCCAATGCCTCCCTTGTGAGTTAGTGGATCATAAGAGCCGTCTATATTGAGTTTGTAATTTGGTGAAGGAGGCAGCATCCATTTGACGCGAGTCGCTATGTGTGGTCGAGGATTGGTAATAGAGGAGACTAGATAGGTATATTCAGCCGCTTGGATAGTGATAAGTGAGGGATTGAGTAGTCGTGTGTCATGGTTAAAGAGGTTGTGATTACGGTTCAACCAAATGTTCCATAATATGAATGGGGCGAGAGTGCGTAGAGGGAGAAAGGGGAGAGGGTGGTGGGAGGAGGTGAGGTGAACAGATGTGTTAGAGGTGCAAAGATGTTTTAGCCAACTGTCATAGTTGTGGTTTGGGATGGTGAGGCGGTAGTGCTGCCAAATATGAATGGCTGGGGGGCATTCAGTGAAGATATGGTGTAGGTCTTCGGAACTGTGTGAGCAGAAGGTGCAGCGAGAAGTGGGTGTGATGTTTCGACGTGCTAAAAAGCTTCGTGTTGGTAAAGCTTGATGGAGTAGGAGCCAAAGGAAGTGTTTGATCTTATTGAGCGTAGGAATGGTCCAGATCCAGGTATAGGGAAAGGTGGTTGGAAAATGAGGTTGGGTGGAGGTGAGTAGTTTGTAAGCGGAGGATGTGGTAAAATGGCCATCAGAGGTGGGGTGCCGGTGGGGGGAATCTTCAGCTGTAGTGGAAGGTTAGGAATAGTGTTTTTTATGAGTAGTTGAATGTGAGGGGGAAGGTGAAAGGAGAGGGAGTTGAGGGTGAAAGTTGGAGTTGAAAATATATGACTAAGGGAGAGTGAGTACTCGTGGGAAAGGAGTGGGCCTTGGATAAGTTGCCGTAATGAGAAGTGGGGGGTAATCCATTGATCGTGCCAGAGGTTGATTTTGGCACCATCCTTAATTGTCCAAGTGGTACCACGCCGGCACAGAGGCAGGGCTGTGGTGAGGCTTTTCCAGGTAGGGGAGTCATGTGGCTTAGTGATATAAGCTCTGGTGTGTGGTGGTGTATTACGAGGCGTACAGTATTTACCCTGCAGTATTTTAGTCCATAGTTGTTGAGGATTAGTGGCGAATCGCCAAGCAAGGCTAGTTAATAAGGCAAGATTTTTAGGGTATGCTTGTTGTATTCCTAATCCACCGTATGGCTTTGGTGCAGTGACTGTGTTCCAGTTGAGTAAGTGAAGTTTGTGGTGGTTATTTGTGGACCCCCATAAGAAATCACGTTGAAGTTTGTCACTATTTGTTCGTGTTTTGTGGGGTAGTAGTTGATTTTGCATAGCATAGGTTGGAATGGAATTTAGTACTGATCGTATAAGTGTTGTACGACCTGCCAGATTGAAGAATTTTGTTTTCCAACCTTGTAATCGATTATGCATCCGATCAAGGATGTATTGGTAATCAAAAGATTTGGGATGCATGTTAGGCATGGAGAACCCAAGGTATTTGCCAAAATTGGAGGCACTGCGAATGTTGAGAAGATTAGTGAGGTGTGATATGGTGGTAAGGTGTGTGTTGCGAGAGAATAGAATTTTTGATTTTGTGAAGTTGATGCGTTGGCCTGATTGATTGGCAATGTGATTGAAGCTGTTCAGTATGGCATGGGTGTTTTCGGTGTCGGCTTTTGCGAATAAGACAATGTCGTCTGCAAAGAAGAGATGAGAGATACTGGGTCCCTGTCGTGCCAATTTTAGTGGTGTCCATTGTTTTAAAAGTACAGCCTCCTCTATAAGTTGGGAGAGAGTTTCCATACAAATAATAAATAAGTAGGGAGAGAGTGGGTCTCCTTGTCTAATGCCTCGAGAAGGTTGGAAGAAAGGTGTAGGCTTACCATTAATTAGAATGGCTATAGAGGAGGTGGTGATACAAGACATGATGAGTTGGATAATGTGTGTTGGAAAGTTAAGGCGTCGTAGAGAGTAACGAATGAAGGACCATTCTAATTGATCAAAGGCTCGTTCTAAGTCAATTTTGAGCATCATCTTAGCGAATTTACCTTTTGTTTTACGAAAGGAGTGTAAGGATTCTTGAACAATGATAGCATTGTCCACTGCCCCGCGACCAGGAACGAAGCTACATTGTGTGGGATTAATAATAGAAGTTATGATAGGGCGGATTCTATTGACGATGATCTTGGTAATGACTTTATATATAGTGTTGCAGAGTCCTATAGGGCGGTAATGGTGTATATGAGCAGGATTTTTTATTTTTGGAATAAGGGTTAGGAAAGTTTGGTTAATGTTGGGAGGGATGGTAGCAGTTTGGAAGGCTTGGGAGCATGTTTCAATAACAGCTGCTTTGGTGTACGACCAGTATTTTTGGAAAAATATAGGGTGTAGGCCGTCTGGGCCTGGTGATTTGAATGGTTTGAAGGAGTTAATAGCATGAGTGATCTCTATTTCAGTTAATGGTTTGGTGAGTGATGAAAGTTGTGTGGGGGTGAGTGCATTATATGAGAGTGGAGTTGGTAAGTCAGTGCATTGGATAAGTTGTGTGGTGTAAACATCTTTGAAATGAGTTTGGATAATGGTATGGATGGAATCTGTGTCAAAAGTCCAATTTCCTACAGTATCATGTAACCCTAGGATACGATTTCGTCTACGTCGTTGTGTTGTAGATATGTGGAAGAAGCGAGTATTAGCGTCGCCATCATTTAACCATTGTATGCGTGACTTAAGTTTTCAAAAGTCCTCTTCATATTTGAGGATTGTATTCAGATCAGTAAGGAGGTGGTTTTCAAGATTATAGTGGAAACTATTTTTATTATTAGGGTCCATGTTTTGGATGCCATTTAGCCTGGCTAAGATAATACATTTTTTGTAAAAAATATTTCCAAAGGAATGCTTATTCCAGTAGGTGGTATGTGTTGCAAAGTTGTATATTGCTTGATCGTAGTGGGGGTTGCCAGTCCAATGTGTTTGGACGATGGTCAAAAATTCAGGGTGATTAAACCACATAGTTTCAAGGCGAAAGGGGAAGGAAGGTCTGGATGTAGCTTTAGTGAGATTTAAGATTAAGGGGCAATGATCTGAATGTATTCGAGGTAAGTGTGTGACGCTGGAGTCTGAGAACAGACGAAGCCAGCGTTCATTGGTAAAGAATTTATCGAGTCGTTCTAAGATAAGTTGATTTGGACGATGACGTAGATTTGACCAAGTAAAACGAGAACCCGTAAATCCAAGGTCAATCATTTAGTTCATTAAGGCAATCATTGAAAGCATTTGTACGGTTTGTATTTACAGGGTTACCGCCAAATTTG